AAATCTTTCCCTTTATAAAAAGATATTTGTTATTTGTGGTCTTTTTTATTGATGTCTTCTTAACCAAAAATAGAAATAAATGAGTTTTTTAATTATGATAAAAACCAGAATATCATAGTAATAAATTATGTAATAATCAATTAAAGAATGAATAAAAAAGAAAAATGTGTTTGTTAGTTGAATCTTTAACAAATTATGAGAAAAAACACTATAAAATTAAATCGCTTTAATAAATTTAAATTGGAAAAGACAAAAACAACATATTCTTAAAGTTAAAATTTGAGTATTTTGATTTTATTAAAACAATATAGTTTTGAGGCGTTTTCCTCTTAATTTTTTGCAGGTCATATTAATAAACACTAATATTATAAAAAATACTAAAATATTTCTTTTAAAAAATTAACTTTAATTTAGATTGATTTAATAACAATAAAAGATTATAAATTCAATCATAAAGGTAAAGATATACCTCCATGCTAGAAGGAAAATACTTTAAACTTTTATATAGAATATTAAGAAAATAATAAAAGAATACTAAAGACAACTGTAAATTTAAAGTTATTTAAATAGATAATAAAAGTTTTTTTTTTGGGATTAGTAGATGAAAAAATGTTTAAGAACCATAATTCTCAATTAATTAATTAACATAAATTCATTTTACTTAAATTATATCCTTAATTTTTTAAAACTTTTTATTTAGATCCTAAATATTTTCTCTATATTTGAAATAGTTCTTGAAATTCTTACTATTAAAGCAAAATTTTTAATAAATAAAAGTCAGAGTATCATATTAAATGTTTTTCAAAATCTTAGGGGGGCGGCTGCCCAACCGTGTCCTTCATTGGCTCCGTCCCTGGAAATTTGGGATATTACATGATTGTCCGTCCACCCGCCTGCTCCAGGCCACACGCTTCTTTTTGAAAAGCAAAGTAATGACACCCCAGTGAGATGTGGTTCACACACTCTCCTTTCCTTAGCCGATGTTAATATTAACCACGTAATTATCGCTTTCAAAAATGAAAAGATATTGTATTGGTAAGGTATCATTGGTCTAGACGTTTCTTTAAGAATGAATACTAAGTTACAATGTTATATGATATTATAAGATTATAATTATAATATAATATTAAATAAATGATTACGTATGCACTTGGCCTGTGTGGTCCAATGGCTAGAGCCTCCAATGGCTAGAGTCATTGAAAAGTGCACATCTCCTTCTCCTGGGTGGGTTTCGAACCCGTCCCATGACAAAACCGTTCAAAAAAAATAAATGATTACGTATAATATTATGTATAAATTTTTTATTAAAAAAAATTAATTATATAATTATAAAATATATTATAAATTTACAATATCATTTGATATTGTAATTATTTATTTTTATTAAAAATAAATATTTTTTATTTTAATTAAAAATAATATTTCAATACTAAAAATATGTTGGAAAAGGATTTGGCATGGATACATGACAAAAATTATTTTTGTGGAAATAAAAAATGAGAAGAATGCGCTGAGTCGAACGGGGACGAAATACGTGTGTCTGCGTCATAAACGACAAAAATTATTTTTGTAGAAATAAAAAATGAGAAGAATGCGTTGAGTCGAACGGAGATGTAATCCGTGTCTGCTTCGTACACGACAAAAATTACTTTTGTAGAAATAAAAAATGAGAAGAATGCGTTGAGTCGAACGGAGATGTGATCCGTGTGTCTGCGTCATACTTGCCAAAAATTATTTTTGTAAAAATAAAAA